ATGAAACCTTACCATTGAGATCTTTGGATCCTGATCATAATTGAACCACCAAAGTGAGAAAGACAATATTTTAAATACACAAAATCCAAAACGGAACCAGAACTTTGAGAAAGACAATGTTTTGAAAGTTAATGATGTGTGCGTTTTGGTGTCTTTGAGACACACCAAAACACATACATCATTAACATTCAAATTATTGCCCCCCAGAGAGGTGAGAGAGAGCGATGATGTATGTGTGTTTGTGAGAGAGAAAGACGAGCCTCTAGAAGAAGTTGGAACCCTAAATGAAAACTGAAATTGAAAGAAAGCGTCAAATTTATACAATAAATCTTCAAAAACCACGGCGGTCCTTATATAAATACCGCCGTCTAATTGTACAAAACCACAGTGGTTATTTATTCAATAACCACCTCGGTTTTTTAGTTATAGGGACGTTAAAATAAGATTCCCACGTCGTAATTTGCCGACGTCTATTTCTTATACGACGTATAATATTTAGTCATAACCACGTCGGTTTGTTCAATTAGTGACGTATAATATTTATTTACCACGTCCTGAAGTTCAAATTACCGTCATATTTATTCGATTTATACGTCTGCCTTCTCTGTAAACCGCCGTCTTAATTTTTATTGCTTTTTCAGATTAATTTTTGTTTTTATTTTGGTAGCCTACGCTCCAACATTTGCTAATATCTTTCTTAATATCTTCTGAAGTACTGTAAGACATTTCAAACCTTCAGTAAAGAGAAAAGAAAAATCAACTAGATCAAAATTAAACAATTAAACAAGGAAATAAGGAAATAAAGGAAACTGAGATTAAGGGCCCTCTTGCATTTCTGCATAGACTGCATGGGCTTGGTTTTGCAGAAGTCTTACCAGTGAGAACACTATCACTTATCTCTTATTTTTATTGCTTCCAAGAAAAATCAAGATGGTTTATATAGAAAACCGTCGTCACATGAAAATTAAAATGAGATCCCAAGAGGTATGAAATCTTACCAGTGAGATCTTTGAATCCTGATCATAATCGAACCACCAAAGTGACGTCGGAAGGAGTCATTGAAATTGTTTATAGTGGACACTTTAGCTTCTATCCATTTGAAATTTGAAATGTATAAGAAGCTAAAGTGACTCTTCAAATGGATACACTATTGCCTCCAAAGAGGTGAGAAGAAGTTGGAACCCTAATTGAAAACTAAAAGTTAAAGAATGTGTGAAAAAATCATATTTATACAAATTATCTTCAATATCCACGTCGGTTCTATTACACGTCATTATCTTCAATAATAGACGTCGGTTGGTAATAATTGGAGTCGTATAAATATAAATAACCACGTCATTTTCGTAAACTACGGCCAACGACTTTTAAAACCAACAACGTCGGTTATACATAAAATGACGACGTGGTAACATGTAATACCACTTCTTCCAAAGTAAACTTGTGTCGTGTACTTCCCAGAGAACCACGTCGTTTTCCTAAAACTAATGGTCGTTGACTTTCGAAATACGACGGTTTAGATAAACAAGCGCTGTCATAACATATAATATATGGGCATCAAAAGTAAACTTCTGTCATGTAAAACTTAAATAACCATGTCGGTTTCATAATTCCAAAAGTCGTTTGGCTTTATTAATAACCACGTCGGTTCCTACTTATTGTCCGTCGTTATAACCACATACTAGGGGGGGTTTTAATAAAACCGTCGTGTTATTGAACTTTGAGAAAAATATATAAACTTGTTCGTCGCCTAACCTAAAGTTCTACATTCTCTCTCACCGATAAAATATCTCAGTTTCCCTCTCAGTTCCCAAAAGCAGCTTCGTAATCATCATTGTCTGAATCTCGTCATCGTCTTCGTCCCCAAATCTCCAAAGTTGATGTCAGAAGGAAACTTTCTTTGAACGCCAAAGGTTTTTTCTCAATCTCTTTTCATTTTTTCAATTTCATTTGAAGAGGGTTTTGAAAGAATGAATCAGGAAACAAGACTCCATCAAAATGACGAAATCTTTCACTGATTTGATTAAATTCATTGGTCCATTACTCTCACGATGCCTGAAGACGACAGTTCTCTCTTGTTTGCAACGTTAGAATTGACACACCACGATGGTAGTTAAATCCGACCTAATACAAACTGCACGACGGTGGTTAACCGTCATGGTGTGGCAATTAATACATCGGAAACAAGATAAAACCGTTGTCTCATGGTGTATCAATTAATACGACATGAACGAGATAAAACCATCGTCCTATTGTCATACCATGGTGGGAGAGAACTGTTTCACAAGACGATGGTGTTTTCTTGGTACCGTCGTGGTATTTTTTGTACGACGACAGTGTTGTTTTACAACCGTCGTCCTAAATTTAAAATCACGGCCGTCTTTTTTCCAACGTCTTTTATTTATTATTACGTCAATTTGTTCAATTAACCGTCGTTATTTTTCTTGCAGGTTAATTAAAAATGGTTTCGAAATCTCAAAGCAAGGAGGCTCAAGTGTCAAAAGGTCCTAGCAAGGACCTTGTTACAATTTCAGTTCAAAGCAAGGAGGCTCAAATGGATGAAGCCAAATCAGTTCAAAGCAAACCCGCGAAGTGGATGAGATTTTCTTCAACCTCTGAGAAAGACCCGAGCTCAGCCACATTTGTTGAGGAGTCAAAATCGACTCGCGGTATCAACACAATGAGCCGTGTTGTGAAGAGGAAAATTTAGAAGATTAAGCCTGTGGTTGAGTTCAATAAAAGGGGGAGACCACATGGCAAGGCTGTCGTCTACCGCCAAAAAATGGAAGGATTTCAAGTATACCATAACTAGGGAGTTTATCCTTCCATTCATAAATGACAAGGAGAAGTTAAAAGAACCCCTTCAGCTTTATAAGTTCATAGAGAAATCGCAATGGGGTGCCTTTGTAGCTTCAAGGTTATCCCCAGATTTTGAGGCTATGCATTCTGGGCAGAAACATAGAAGGGAAAAATGCGTGTACAACCATAGGTTGTCTAGAAAAGGGTATGTTGGTTTGGAGGACCAATTGGAAGAAACCATACTCGGTGTTGAAATCGATCGATCTCTGCCATGGAAGAAAGCAAGAGAAGATAAAAAGGGAAACATCCCTGATCTAAAGGTTGCAGAGAAGGCAAAATTAATTGTAAGTATCACTAACTCTGTTCTAAATTTGAAAAATAGAGTGTTTAATTTTCGTGTAGATGTCGCATGTTTAAAGAACCATCGTTATAACTTAAACACCACAACGATTTTTATTTACCACCATTTCAAAGATAATAGAACGTCGGTTTTTGCCTGAGACGGCCATCTTTTTTTAAAGTTTTAGAACTACCTTCATTTACTCACGCACGCACTCTCCCTTTCTCTATCTATTTCTCTGAAATTTGTGGTGCACAATTTCTGGAAAAGAATGCATATTTCTATTAAGTTTTTTCACTTATGCATTAAAATTTACGAAGGTTTTATCTCATATAGACGTTAGAATGCATATACAACGACGGTAATTTTATGCTGCCGTTTGAAATTATGTACTACGTCAGTTGTTTCAACAGTTCATCGTCTTAATTGAAATACTACGACGGTACAGGTTTTTGATTTATGGTATATTTATCTGTTTATAACTTTTGAATATACGACGGGTTTTTTCTACCGACGTTGGAATTGTTTCAGAATGACGGTAATTTATTACTGAGGTGTGAAATCAATACTACGTCAATTTTATAAAAAAAACTGTCGTTGTCACTGAAATATTACGTCGGTTGATTTATCTATTTTACAGCAGAGAGTAAAATTTGCTGACAAATTGAAGGAAAGTCTTATGGAGGCAGTCAGAGAAGAGACATTGAGGATGGAGGCTAGGTCAAGGGAAAGTGTTTTGGAAGCAGTCAGAGCAGAGAGGGAAATTATGTTGGCACAATTCCGTCAACTAGTTCCTAATTTTGATCCCAACATGCTCAAAACACCATTTACCCCAATTCCTGTACAGCCTCAAGAACAAAGCCCAAATGCTGAAAAACATTTGGGGGGAGAAGATCCAAAGCTTGATGCTGATACTGCTGAAAAACAGCAAGATGAAATGGTAAAATCTCTGATATTTTCTTTTTCTACTTTTTAAATTTTAAATAGACGTCACTCTTTTAAATATCTGACGTTACAATTCCTAAACAATGACGGTATATCTTTACTGACGTATGAAAACCATAATACGTTTGTTTCTTCCAATAACCGTCGTTGTGAGTGAAATACCACGACGCTTTTACTTGTTTTGCATTTTATTTATACCTTGAAAATAATGACGGTCTTTTTTTGCCGTCATCTCATTCTTTTATAAACCGTCGTTTATTTCATTAAAGCATTCAGTGCATTTTAATTAGACGACATTTCTATAGTGTAGCGACGTTAGAACATTTACACAACGACGGTTATGTATTTACCGTCGTCTATAACCTTTACTTTGTCAGTATATTCTAGAAACCGTCGTTTATATTATATACCACGTTGGTTTGGTTTGTTTAGTCAGAGTCGTTTATTTTACTTGATATACAAACTAACTTATATTTCTTGTAACAGGATCTCTCAAAGCTAGACATGCCACCTCCTCTGTTAGCCCTATGCCAATTTGTCCAGACCAAGTTGCAGCCTGCTAACAAGACTGTGAGAGTTCACATGCCAAAGGAAGTGTTTGGCACTGATCATGATACCTTCATCTTGTGTGAAGATATTTTACAGTTTGCTTCCATGGTTGAGATTGGAGCCACAGTGATTGCAGTATACATGAGGTAATTCTAGAAATCCTATATTTTGTTTTACATTCACTACTACAAAATTGTAAAACCACGACACAAAATAGACGACCATGTAGTTTAAAACCGTCGTTGTATTTTAAAAGATGACGGTTTTACAAAAGCGTCGTGATATACCATTTTAGACACCACTAAAATAGAGTTGTGTTTTATAAGACGACGTTTGTAAATTACAAAGGTCGTCTTTTAAAACACGCTAGGCTCCTTAAGTGAGGTCGCTCTCAACCTAATTTTCAGATTTCCTCCCAACTCGAAAACATTCCCTCCTCTACTTCTCGCAGTGCTCTCTCAACTCTCTTGAACGAACTCTGAATTTTCCTCATCTCTCTTCCTCCCTCGTCGTCACAGATCTCTCTCTTCATCTGTCTTTCTCTTTCTGCTATGCGTCTCTCTCTTGACCATTCACTTCTTTTGCTTTGCAGGTCGTGATCGATAACGTCGTCTGCTCTCCACTTCGACTTTACTCAAGGTTTCTAAGCTCGCCATCTCGTCGGGCCGTCGTGGTAAGTGAGAGTTTCAATAAGAGATTTGGGGCTTTTGCTATTTCAAATCCCTAGTATCCTTTTACTTGTACTCTCTCATCGATCTCCAGCTCTTTCAGATCAAACCCATCGAAACCCTAAGCTTGCTCCTTCTGCAACAAAACCTCCAAAGCCGCGAAGGCCTCTGCAACAGTTGGTCTGAAATTTCTTTTCTTTTTTATGTTCTTTATGATTTACCTATTATATTGTTTCAATTTGATTATGAGTTGTTGCTCTGTTTGGATTATGTTAGTTGTCTATTCATATAGATTTTTATTTTCTGGAGTGCATTTCTTTCGTAAGAACTCTGGTCAGTCCCCTTTCTCAGTCTCAGGCTTTAATTTCTCAAACAGAGATGAAGATGGTCTGTGGTTCGCTAATTTTAAGGTGGGGTTTAGATAATCTTAGTTGAGTCTTGCTAATACTGCAGCTATATCATGTATATTTTAATCTCAGTTGATCTCTCTCTCTCTCTCTCTCTCTCTCTCTGGTTCTCTTTCTTGATCCACGGTATGTCTCAAAATGCATCAGATACTCAGAATTCGTATTTAGTTGACTACATGGATACATGATGGATATGCAAGGGATACATGAGGGGTTATTTTGTATTTTCTTTTCCAAGAACAAAGGGGAGAGGGTAATTTTTTTTGGAAAAAAACAAAGGGGTGAGTTTTTTGGAAAAAAATGGGTTGTTTGGAATTGTTTCTATAAAAGCGAGATCTGAGTGCTAGTTTCAAATGTTAAAGAAAAAATAAACAAGTAATATTTAACTATATATTTCTTTATTGGCTTATCCCTGTATATGCTAATCTTTTATACTCGTATTGTTTTGCATATCTTGTAACATATCTGTGCAACACAATAATGGATTATTAGCTTTCTTGTCTCAGATTTTTCCTTTTCTGAATTTCCGCTGCAAATTAAACATGATTGTATTGTACCCATGTTGATAATCATGTCTAGCGTGTTAGAAATGGATAAGATAAGTGAACCATATTGCTGAGATTACTATCATTGCTGAGATTATTGCACTTTTTGAGGTGACTTCATTTCCCCCCCTCCCCTCTCTTTTTTTACACTAACACTGGGACTTTCCTTTCTTTACTTTGTGGGGCTAAGGGTTGCATTTGTTTGCCAAATCTTCAGGTATTGCGTGCTAAGAATCATTTATTTTACTTTTTATTTTTTCTTAATTTGTGCGGCTGTATTTTACCTGAAATTAGAGTTCCTCTTTCTCTTTGACGTGTTGTGATAAGTTTAATGGGTGATTTGCGTTTTATAAATATAAAATGAAGGTCTTGGGATAATTTGTTCATGATCCAATTCTATCAATATATGTTTTGCAATTTTCTGCATAGTGTACCAAATCTTAAGTGAAGGCACTTAACTGTTATCATGACATGGTATTCTTCAGCATCGCAGTGTGGTTTTAAGATGTTCACTAGGGCTGCTGCAAGAAAGCTTTTCACTAACATCCGTTTGAACAGGTAATTCCACTTTAGATTGTATAGATAGCATTCTGTTTGAACAAGCAACTGCACTTCAAATAGCAATTTGCAATAGTTTATGCTGACCTTTGTTGCTTTGTAACTAGAATATATGCATCTTTTTACTGCTTCTCTGTTATCCTTTTGTTGTTGAGAATCTGATATGTATGTCAATTTGATGTTTAGGAGAAAATAATTTTTCTGTTGGCAAAGCGGCTTGGAATGATGACAAAAATTAAATTATGTTTTTCTGTGCTTCCCTGATATTATAGATTCTCTTACGGGAAGAATGAACAGATGTTGATTTTCTGCAGGTGGTGCTTTGATGTTGAGGTAGTTTACCTATGCAAATGGTTCATAATTCGAATGATCGAGATTTCTGTGAACTGGTGGATCAAAGGAGAACCTGTTAAGCATGCCAAATATGCTTTAGGAGCTTGTGCTCATGTCTGTTGGATATAGAACTGCTATGTAATTGCTATTAAATTTTTGAAAGAAACGATTTGGGTATATTGGTGAATTATGAAATTACTATTGAATCTTCAAGTTTTAAGAAAGAAACAATTTGAGTACATATGTATGAGTGGGTAATAGCATATTTGGACATGAATTTATTGTTCACAAAGCATTATGGTTTTTTTGTTAAAATCGTTGTAGAGAACCATTGGAAGTGGAAAAAAAAGAAGCTAAAATGTAAAATCACTACGTCAGTTTTGCAGTTAATACATGACGATAGTTTCAACGAAACCGTCATCTTTATAGTTGATAGACGACTGTATTTTAACAAACAGTCATCTTTAGGGATAATAGATGACGATTTTTTTTAAAACCGTCGCCTTTTTAGTTAATACACGACGGTTTTTAAAAGAATCGTCGTCTTTACATATAATAGACTTGTTTTTTCAAAGAACCGTCGTCTTTACAACTAATAGACGACGGTTCTTTGAAAAAACCGTCGTATATTATATGTAAAGACGATGGTTAATTACCGTCGTAGTTTGCCATTTAAAAAGATGACGGTCGACTTAACGACGGTTTGAAAAAGAAAAAGACGACGGTGTTTCCCCGTCGTCTATTTCAATTTTTGTAGTAGTGATTTATCTTTCTTTTAAATTAAAATCTCATTTAATTGAATTTCATATATTTAGGTACATATTTGACTATTTTAAAAGGGCAAATATGGTAAACCTTGTTGCCCTCGTCGACCCTGGACAAGTCAGCGCTCAATCTGGACTATCTTACTGAACAAAACAACTGTCAGACCGCCTGAACAACCGTCGTCAGGGTTAGTCCCCTTAACTATTTAATGTATTTTCCTTTTAATATTTTTCTTTGTACTATTTAACCTATATGGATCATTATTTGTAGGGGTCATTGGGTGTTGTTAATTGTGAGGCCAGCTAAGGAGACTGTGACAGGACCCGACCCAAATTCCACTTTAGAATCCAAGTCGAACCCTGTGCCTGTCCGACACCTGGCTGGTGCCAGACACAATTGACTAACTTGCCCTTCCAAACAAAATCCAAGGAAATTCAAGTACGACTTCTGCCGAAAATTCAACAGAGTCCCCCTTGTAAATTGAACTTTTCCCAAAATTTCCACTTGTAAAACGAGCTTATATATATAGATATATAACCCAACTACCAGCATACATAAAATTATGTTCAAGAAAATTAAGCATCAAAACATTCTGGCCTTAGGCCTCAACAATTTAAAAAAATCATTCTGTTAACAAACTCAATTCTGATTCTTAGAACATTCTCAAAATAGTATTAGATTTCAAATAACTTAACTGTACTACTTTCAATCAATTATCCTCGCTGTTGCACCTAGAATTCTAGGTTGCCTACGTACCCTTAACCAGGGATCAAGCCACACGTAATTCTTTGCCTTTAAACATTGCACTTGTTATACTTGTACAGAAACCGAACATGTTAATTTATTTTAATATATCCATTCATACGTTTGCATAAGTCTTCACACCAGTTTAAAGCGTTGTAAAACAAACATTCCTCTTCCACCTGGGTGTGTCTATCATTATCCGTCAACTCCTCGTGTCTCAGTCCGTGACACGTTCTCGCAGGTCCTGGTAACACAAGGTCTCCCCGAGCCGCAATTCTCTTAGGATTCAGGAGACATTTAGTCGGCCTGATCCGCATTCCTCGACATAGTTCATATTCAAACATATGTACATCACCTATTGAACTCCCTCTAATTCATAAATCAATTTTTATATATATTTTATATGTCATTGGCTTAAATTATATATACAACGTAATAATAAAAGATAAAGACAAAAATATAGAATGAAGCAAAAATAGAAATGTAAATAAAGATAGAACCGACAAGTTTCGAAGACGCTTTTATCCTTGTTTCGAAACTCACGTAAGGTTCATATATATATATTTCACAACTTAATTAGAATCTATATATATATTCATCTTTCACTTGTAAAACAACTTTGTCGCTTAAGAAAATAATGGTAACAGTATACAATTCTCCATTTTAATTTTAAAGCATCTCAAAACTTAAGTTCTCTCCACCTAGGCATACCCCCATTCCTATTCCGTCAATTCCGTTATTAATCCGTCAATTCCATCCTCACAGGCCTCGGTAACACAAGGTTAATCCGAGCCGCATTCCTCGCAGGCCTCGGTGACACCAAGTCAACCTAAGCTGCAATCCTCGCAGGTCTTGAAGATACCACTTCTATCTGAGCCGCAACTCTCGCAGGCCTCGAAGATACCACTTCTCGGAGATAACACTTCTATTTGAGCGGCAATCCTCGCACCACATGGTTCAGGGGTTCCTGAAACACGTGGGGCATCATTATAAATGACACTGTTTCAAGCACTAGGAGGTACCCTTGTGGTGGGTTTGAAAACCATATTTTGCCCTTAATATGAATTTTCAACAAATTAATTCTCAAATATACTATATATGCCATATTCTGATAAAGACCAAAGGCCACGATTCATCATTTTCAGCTCCTGAGTATATGCATATAAATATTTAACTAGTTTGCTAATCACATCGAACTCTGATTAACAAACCACACCAATGCTATTTTTATAATCTCACAAACTACACATAACAATATAATTAAATATATAATTAAATAACATATAACTAAATAATTAAATATCACATCACGACTACTGAAGATTCCTTCATCTCCAACTATGCATACTCATCCCGAAATCATATATATATATATACCTGAATAAATGCCATAATTAAGCCAATGACCACACGCGCATACATGCACTTCCTAAAAAGTTCATACCCAATCAATAGAGCTCATCATCATTAATTAATCTGAAACCCTGGCCCTGGGTTCCTAGAAGTATGTGCATCGAGTTTAATGTCATTCCCATGTCCACCTAAGCTTTTTCAAAGATTAGAATAGTCTAAAAGTGCCTTGGGACACAAAAAGCGACAAAGTCTTAAAAAGTCAACCCGGGACCCCGTGGGTCCACAACTTCAAAATTCCGATCCGGAAATTCCTATAGATTCCAAAATACCTAGGACACATGTCCCGAGAGTTTGGCCTCGATCGAATGATCTGATTGCTCACGATCGGACGGTCGAACGGTTTCTACAACCCTAGCCCTAGGGTTGGCATTTTCGGAGTATCCGGGACTCCGACTTACAATCCGTCGAATCCTACACGATTCTGAAAATGTCTAGATCAACATATATGGGATTAACTACGATCCAATGGTTCAAACGTATTGAACCCGGAAATTGCACAATAGGCGAGATCCGTTCGGGGTTCAAACGTTAACCAAATTAAAATCCAAAAGTACCTAGGCGCCTATGAGGACCAGGAGATCATTCTAGGATGGAATGTCACCCCCGACACCTAACCCATGCGCCGGCCGTGCGTGGATGTGCAATGAAAATTATCCAAACCGCCGGCCCAAACTCCTACCCTAGGTGTAACACCCCATTTGGAACCACTTTTGTTCTTGGACATAACCCGAAAAACAAGCGAAAGTGGCCTAAACGTATTTTGATCGTAACTCTCTCGATACAACTCGGATTCGAGCCCACTATGTGTCTACGGACTCGTCTCGATGTGCTATACACAACTGTCCCATTAAAATTTCGAAATTACTTCCTCAAATTAAAATGACCTTTTTGCCCCTTTTAATATTAAATAATATTTTAATTTTCAAAAACCTTAATTAATTCAAATCATTTTATTTTATTATTTATCTCAATTTATTTTCTCATTTAAACTTATTTCCTCTTATTTTAATTACTTAATCATTCCCGGGGTAATATTGTCCTTTTCCGAGAGACTGTGTATTACATGAATTCACTGCCAAACCGCTCTGTTGACGATGACATGAGAAGTATAGTGAATACGTAAGTTGATTTATTCCAATCTAAGATTTTTTTTATCTGTGCATTTGAATTATACGACCGGTTTTTATAATACCGATGTTATAATTAAAATAGAACTGTAATTTATTACCGACGTTTGAAAGAATTTGTTACGTCAGTATTTTCTTGAAACCGTCGTCTTAATTGAACTACCACATCGTTTGTGTTTTTATTTAAGAACGTTTTAATTTTTTTCTATTTAATTTTTTGTTATATGACGTTTTTCCGAGTTACCGACGTTATAATGTTACACAACAACGGTAGTTTCATACCACCGTTTGAAATAAAATACCACGTCATTTTTTTTAAAAATCCGTCATCTTCACTGATTTACCACGACGGTTACAATTTTTTATTTAGATTTTTCGTTTTGTCATTAACACTCTTTGTTTTCTTGAAACAGGTCAATGAAAATGTTTAACTCTCATGTAAACAAAAATTCATCACATAAAGCAACCATTTGGAAAACTCTACAAGGCACTCCTGAACAACCAACAAATGTAGAGTGTGGCTATTACGTGATGCAATTCATGAGAGATATAATTCATGATCCAGACCTATTTTATGAGAAGAAGGTAAAAGGCAAAGTTTAAGATATAATTTCTTTATTTTACTACATTAACTTTTTCTTTAAAACCGTTGTTTGTATCTTTATAACACGTCGGTTTTTTCATTTATTTTGTAGTTTGGCAAGAAAAAAGAACGAGTTCAGTATAAACAAGAACATATTGATGAATTTAGGCTGGAATGGGCAGAATTCGTTTACAAGCAATTACAGAATGATAAGTGATATAATTTATTTTAACAATGTTTTGGGTTTATTTTAATTTATTAACAATGTACATAAATATTTTTCTTGTAAGCAATCAACAATCATAAAAAAAAAAAACAAAACAAAATTTGAAATTTTTTACTTTAGGATATTTGTCTTTAAATGAATTCAAACAACAGTAATTCAAAAAAATTTAATTTCATTCCCAAAAACCGACGTCTCATTCTTATTTACACGTCTCATTTGTGTATACAATCGCTGCCTTATTATAACGAGAAATATAACATCGACGACAATTCTTAAAAATGCCATGTAATAAGAATAAACACGACCTTTATATTTACTTCATCTTGTACGGAAAATTTTTGGTACAAACATATCGACGTCTTAAAGACATACAACGGCGGTTATC